TTTTGTAAAATTTGCATTTTTATCTTGCAGTCTGATTAATGTTTGCTATTACTCACTCACTAGGCAGGTCTGGTTGGAGAGATGAAAACAGAGAAAATGATATTGTTTACAAAGGCAAGTTACAAATGCATTCTTCTTTCCCTTCCCAAAAGGCACTGAGGCGTGAACTGAAGGATAAAGAGCAAACCGTTCTCAACGCTGTGGACCAGGCACGAGTCTTCCTTGCCAACCAGCCAATTGAGGGGCCTGAGGAACCAAGGAGGAGCTTGCATTCAAAAACAGGTCAGAAAATACTCACTGCTGGGGAGGGTCAAAAAAAGAGAGAAAGGACTTGCATGTCTCTAGTACATATTTTATATCCCAGTTACTTGCTCAGACCTCAGAATTTTCTAAATGGCATCCTGATGGCTTTTATTTCAATGTTTTAGACTCAAGAGTTACTCCTCTGTTTTGTAAGTTCTTACATTTTAATGGAAGAAGTAGAATCATCTCATCTGCCTTTTCCAATTTTTGGTTCAAAATACTAATGATAGTTCTGTTCTTTTTTTCTTAACACAATAATATACACACCTTAAATGTAGTCAGAATAGTACTTCAAGGATTCCCATTCAAACATCCATATGTCTACTGCAAAGTTTTACTCCACAAATAGAAATAAGCATATTTAGTCGTGTATCCCATTAGAAGTAAAATAAATCAGCTTTAGGAAGGCAGTCATTGCAGAATCCTAGAGATTTGAATATTAAGTGAATCATTGCTAAGGAATGGAACCACAGCTATCCTGGAAACTCTTTTTGCATAGTATTTGTTGAGATATTATTCTGTCAGAGACCTAAAGATGTTAATAATTTTTTTCCACTCCTCCACAAAATAGGAAATTATCTCTGTAAGTTATATCTGTGATATAAACTATAGCATTATGAAGCCTTACTTTTAGTTACACAAGAACTGTTCTCAGAAAATGTAATAATCTGCTTTTGCAGAGCTATCTGTTGCTATGAGGTGTTAACAATTTAGTGTGCTGTATAATTTACAAAATTACAGTATATCTGCTTTTATCAGGAGTTAGTTTATGTCCATACATCATCTTATATATCTCCGTTGCAAACGTCTTAAATTTTTTCAGTGGAAACAATCTCCTGCATCCATACTTGGTGTTATTTCTCTACAAAATTTTAAGTGGTTACATATTCCCTAGTTCAACTTTATCACAAAGTTTGAATATCTGGTGATTAAGGCAAATTAACCATTTATCTCATTGATTAGTGCTGCTGGTACCTTAGCTTTACTTCTGTTTTGAACTCCTGACTCCTGAAATATTCAGTTTCTCTTTACTCTCAAACCCATTTGCTTTATGGCATTTACTGTTTTAGTTGGTCTAAAGCAAAAGCAACCTTGCAGTTGAAAAGAAAGGATGCTCTTTGTGTATTTGTGCCTTCTTTCATACAGAAGCTTGAAATTGCAGGTTCTCTTCTCAAAAAACAGAACCTCTCAGTGCAACTGATGCCAGTACATAAAACCTTATTGATGCAAAATGTTCATTTTCTAACAGGATTTGATATCAATGATCTAGTCAGTGTTGATTGATGGGATGCAAACTGCCAGAGCAAACTTCAGATGCATCATAAATTCTTGCTATCCAGTCTATTATGATGAAAATTGTTTTTATATTGTGTAATACCAATGGCAGTGAGAACAGTATAACAGGGAATTTGATGACCATGGTAAACTGCATTGGAATGACAGCCATGGCCTGCAAGTGATGTGTGCATGTCTCTGGTTCTAGTCATCATATCTGAAAACCAGTCACAAGTTCAGACTGGGAAGCCTCATATATGTGCACTGAGCTTCTTTTCCTCTTTCTACTTCCACTCAATATTCCATGGACTTTCTTTTTTGAGCATGTGATGGGTTAGTCTTGACTACCAGCCAAACTCCCACCCACCCATTTATGCCTTCCGCTGCAGTGGAAAGGAGGCAGGAGGTGGGAACAACATGGGTGAGAAAGCTCATGGGTCAGGATGGGGATCAGATGAGTCACAGATGCAGATCCCATACAAATTACTGTTGTGGACCAAACAGGTTTAGTTTGGGGAAAACAAACTATTTATTGCCATTTAAAACAAATAATTAAATACTAAGTTGGTCTGTAGTGGGGAAAAAATCCTCACAAACATTAAGACCACAGCTTTCCTCCCGCCTTTCACAGATTCAGCTTGACTCCCTCATTCCTGTCTCTTTCCAGCCTTGTTGTGATGCCAGTTATGCTCAGAGAGGCAACAAGTGGCATGAGAGGGCGGGAAGGTGGTGACTCATGGTTAGCCTAGCAGTTTCTTTCTTCTGCTTCTTTCCTCTCATACCTTTTCTTTGTGTGCTGTCTCCGTGGGGAAAATCTGCCTTACCATGGGGTTGCTCCTCCTCCACTGACTTTGGTGTTTCCTCTGCTGTTTCTCCTGTTGGTTCCCTCCTCCTCCCTGATGTTTTCTGTTTCTTAAATACCCTTTCCCTGAGGTGCTGCCGGAGTGGCTGAGGGTCTCAGGTGTGCCCTATGGTGACTTGTCTGGAGTCTGCTGTCCCTGGCACTGGGCAGCCCCAGCCTCTTCTCCCAGAGACCCCTGTGAAGCTCCCACTGCCAGCAGTGGGTACGCACACCCTGTGAAGAACAGGCCTGCACTTTCTGTAGATTAATAGACCTTCAGGCCAAAAGCTGACTTTAAATCATTCTGTCTGAGCTCATATATATAAAATGAGCTGTTAATTTTCACCTAGGAGTGAGTCTAGTAATTTTTTTTGACAACTATTGCCACCAGTCTCCAGACGGCTTAATATCTGAACTAGAAGACAGCCAGACACACACAATTTTTCTTCAGATTGACTCTTGTCATTGAAGGGTGTGAGCTTTAGTTTGCTTTTAAGATGTTAATTTTTTTGTTTTCTGTCAGGCCCTTGGTCACTGGTGTTCTCTGTAGTTGATTGAAGTTAACTTGTTAACTTCAATGAAGTCCACTTCATGTTGATAAATGTGGAGTGTGGTTATGGATTCTAAACTGACAGTCTGCTTTCTAAAAATATTGACAAACAGTCAACACTGCACAGTCTTGATTTGAACATTGCTTTGGCTGGTTCTATAATAGAAATAGCAAAAGTATTCTACTAACTCAAATTTGCATTAATTGGAAATCACCGTTTCTTGAAGTTGTTTCTTACCTTGTATAAGGGAAGGGGTTGTTCTGGGGGAATGGTTAGCTAATATGAAGATGATAAAGGTTGTGAAATTGTTTTCTATTTTCTTCAACCTCTGAATCTAATTTTTTTTTAATAAATATTTTTGATCATTTTCTCTGTCACTAGAGGTCTTGTTGCAAGGGCAAAGAATGAGACAGATTTAGGACAAAACTGATCAGAATCAGTTTTGAACTTGTCTGACTGAGACCTGTTTGAAGGACTTACTGTTCCATCCAAAGAGAACATTTGGTAACAGCATGCCTTATGATAACCCATTATTTTCTGTAATGGTATTGTTAATTTCAAACATGACAATAATGTAGTTTCAAGTTATGAGTAAGCCTTGTTTCTTCTTTCCCCATCTTCACCTTATGCTTCTTGTGTTGGCCTTCTACTGTACCAGAAAGAAACTGGCACAGTCAGACAGAGTTCTCTATTTTCCAGGAAACTGCTTTCTTAGTCAATTATATCTTCCATCTGTCTTTTTTCTGCTTTTGTTTTGCCATGTTTCTGTAGAGAGGTCCCATCACAAAAAAGCAAGCTTCGCAATCTGCCTGTATTTGAGCTGCCTCAGCGTCTGAATGGAGCTGATTTATAAGCCAGCAGGCCAGCTGCTGAATTTGATGGATAGACAGGTTAAAGAAATTGAAAATTTTTATGTTTTTGGCATATTTTGTCAATTCTCCATAGTATAGGAGAAAACTTTGCTTTAAAAATGTTAATTATAATTCTCTATGGCATAGTTACAGCTGGCTTCTTTATTCCATGTACTGTAAGGTTACAGGCTGTTGGAAAGACAAAGGAAAGCGGATTTCATGTTTTATGTCCCCAGGGTTCTATGAACTAATGATAGAGCTTTGCTGAAATTCTGTCCTTATATTTTCACTGAAGCAGTGGAACATCCTAGCAGGTCATCACAGGCCACTAGACTGATTCTCTTTGTAATAGTGAACGGTTCTGGCAGTGTTGTCTAACTACTTTAGGAACTTAATTTTCTTAAGACAATTCGATTCCTAGCTTTGAAAGCTGTTATTTGGTAGCAAAGGTTGTTGTGATAAACACAGCATTTAAAAATAAATACTTACCATATGTTATCTCCTAGTAATTGAATAGAAAGCCCCATAAATCACATCTGTGTTATAAAAGAAATATTTTAATAAGTATCAATGAATTGTATGTAGATACTTTATTTAAACTTGTTGCAGGATAATATCTTTACCTGTTTCTGGCATAAATAAAAGCTAAGCTTTTTTGATTACCACCACTGACATTTAGGTAAATTTCTGGGTCATAATTTTTCCTTTTTCAAGGAAGATCTCACTGAAAATAGGCAATTTATTCTTTTCTAATATATAACAGTTATATGCCAGGCAGCATTTCTATTCCAAATCACTTGTGTTTGTTCTCTAGTTATCACACACTACTGGGATTTCTTTTTTTCCTCTGGTGTGCAGTTGGACTGACTATGAAATCTTGACTGTAAATTAAAAGTGCTTATGAGAATGAAGAGGATGTAGCCCACTGGAAGTCAGTGGAATCATATCCAGAAACTAATTATGCTCTTTTCAACATTACTGCTTTTGTTTTAGTTGGAGCTCATTCATTCATGACTTTTAAGAGTTTCTTCCTATGATAAATGTTCATTTACCCATGACAGAATCACAACATACTTTTCTCTCTAATTTTCAGTTAGATCTTTTGGTCACCCTATAAGTTTAGTCCACTTTGGTAAAGCTTTGAAATTCTTCCTGTAGGGTCCATATGGTTGTCTGCTCAGAGCCATATTAGTAAAGTTCAAGGAAATTGTTTCCACTTGCTGAGTATTGTGAAGTGCAAACTTAGGGAATGTTAATGGAAACAGGCTGGCCTGAGTTCAATATGGTTAATTTTATTACTGGTTGATTGTTTGGGGGTTTTTTATTCATGAGGACCTTGGGATATAAACCTAGTCATATTCATTCCTGACTTGTAGGCTCTGTTGTGCCCCAGTTTTACCTGAAATTCGGGGTGTTCTCTATAGGTGGGAAGCGTGTTTACATTTAACTAACTGCTGCTTATTCTTACACTTCCTCTCTCCATCACATCAGGACTAAGTTTTCTGTCAAGGTTATTAGAAATTCAGACAATGCTTTCTCTGCAGCAATGCTAAAGACTTCATGATTCAATGATAGCCCTGCTTTTGGGTCTTCTGTGTAGGAGTTTGATAATGGGCCATTGTGCCTACTCTAATGCTCTGAAAGTTTTTGTCATGAGCACAGTGCTGTGTCATCCTTTGTTTTTACTGCAAAGATTGATTGAACCAAGGAAGAGACAGTGTTTGACATAATGTGAGAAGGAGGCAACATGAAATAATCTCCAGTTCCAGTATATTTGGTTAAGAATTTAACAGAAATGAGAGGAAATTAATGTAATTTTGGCAAGGTGTAAAAAGACCACTACGCTACATAATAAGGATTAGTTGGTTGATTGGAATGAGAACTGCTACAGCCAAATAGTTTTAAAGGTCTAAAATAAATTCTTAAGCAAGAAATTTCTTCACTGATGTTATCTGTATATGTAAGTGTGCAAGGAAACTATATGCTGAAAATTCAGGCCTGAAAGTTTTCCTTCTATGGCACTCAGTCTTTGCTAGAGACACAGAAAAGTTTTTGGAGCTTTCAGTGCTTTGTTTGTGACAGAAAATGTATAATAAAATCAAATTGGTTTTTTTCTTTTCAAGGCAGAAGACTTTTTTTTTCCTGACTGCAAGGTCAGTTAATATCTCCTCTCTGGTAAACAGATGGTCCAAAGAATATAGGCTGTTCTTACTCTCTGAGTAGCTGCTGAAGTGAAGATAATGTAATAAGTACCATTTAAAAAAAGGGGGTGGGAAGACACTGATGAAACTGATTGAGAAGACTTTATATTAAGTAGGAACAAAAGAGCAATGACTACTGTATAAAATTTTTTCACAGCAAAAAGGAATCTTGCCTTCTGGTTTGTGTAGGCTGGTTAAATGAATTCCAGACTAATAGAAGAAAAATCTTATTGTTAAGACACTTTCTTTGAGATTTACAATTTTATGCTATGGAACTAGTATCTTGGAGAATGTGATCTCTGCTTGAAAAAAATTAATGTGTTATTCATTAATAAATTGGGATTTTGTGATGGAAAATAAAGTTATACAAGATGTATTTCTCTTAAATTAATATATGCTGAATAGTTTATAGCTTATAAAAGCATATTTTTTTGCTCTATTTCCCTAGTAAATGTCTTTTTAGTGCAAGATTTACAAGCACTTCCAAAGCGTTTGAAAAATAAAGCAGTCTTGCAATGTATTAATATTTTTCAAATACAATATGTAGTAGATATCCTTGCACAATAACACTGACACATGGTCTTCAAACATGTTTTGGGTTTCAGTTCTCTTGGGATACTTGTATCGCCCCAGTCATTCTAGAATCTTTTTCCCATCCCCAGATAAGTGACTAGTTCTTCTCTGAGTAAAGCTGCCTTGTTTTAGCTGGCCAGATGAAGTCAGGCTATTGTCCCCCTCTTCTAATCACTGAATCATCAAGCTTGGAAGAGACTTTCAGGATTATCTAATCCACTTGTTAACCCAGCACCCCCATAACCATCCCTGAACCTATCCCCAAGTGCTACATTCAATTCATTTATTGCTGCAGCCACTTTTCTTATTGCCTCTGTTAGAGCAAGAAAAACTCATTGAATCTGCTGTGCCAATACATTTAAGGAAAGCCAAAGTTTTGTAAGATTTTCAGCTCTTACAATAAAGCTTTCCACATGTTCTTTGTCAAGCGGATGATCTGTTTAACTGGCTATAATCTACTGTAGACCTGGTCAGGTCTTACAACATTCTTTTATGCAGAATTGTTAGGTTTTCACTCTGACAATAGATAAAGAATGATGCCACTGCATGATGTTGGATCAAAATGGTGGATTGCAGCTTTGCATATATGGAACTTTGCCTTAGTCCAGTTTCTGGGTATAGTGTCTCCTGTATTCGGAGGCTTTATCCAATAGGTCTGTAATTTTCTGTCCCCTTTCAATGAAGCCTTACCTTATGTAAGGTATTCCACCTCTGGATGCTCCCTTAATTTTCATTTATAACTCTTGCAGCTTTCACTCCTGAGGCTTGGTTGCCAAGAACCTTTAAGCTGTATGAAAGGAAACCTCAGCCTGTGAGAGAATCTGTAATATTAAATGCTGGTCTTTTGGTGCTGCTTGACTTCTAGATTTTTCACAGTCCCTTTGTTACTGGATTGTAGTGAATTCCCATTCATTCATCAATATTATTATTCTCAAAGGTGAATTATTCCCAAAGTACTTATGGTAACAACTTCTTTGATGTCTTTACATAGGCATTGTGCAGCTGTCCTTTTCTGTGTAAAAGAATTATTTTTTTCCTTGAAGAGGATTTTACTTAGAGCATGAGCTTTATTTATTTTCAAAAGAAATAAAGAAATATTTTCTTTGCAGATTTTAGGGTAAAGATCATTCCAAAATTATGTTGTATTATAATGCAGTTTATTCTACTGTAAAATGCTGTAAATCCAGAGACAAGGTGCAATTTATAAAAGCATAGCTGTGGTCTTCATCTTTGTTCTGGTGTGCCAGTATTGCAAATTGTAGGTTACTGCCACATCTCTGTATCCCACAGCTACATATGTTGTTCGTATCTCTTTGCATCTAGTTAAGCATTGTGGGTTTTTTCATGGTCATTTCATTCCAGGTTTCTCCTCTTCAATACCTTCTTGCCACTGCAGTGTCCCTAAGCCTGGGTACAATATCTACTTTTACAGGCAGAGTACACATAGGCAGTGCTCTCATGTAATAGCTTATGACACCCAACAAGTCAATTAAATATTAACCTAAGACACTTGGTAAGCTCAAAATGTCTTTTCTACCGCTCAGCTGCACTCTTTCTTCAAATGGCTCCCTCTTTTGAGGTCAAAACACACACCACAACCCACAGGCTGGGTATGTGTCTCCCTTCCCTTGGTGCTGTTGGCTCTTGTTGATTCCTCTTGGCTTCCACTGTGCTCTGGTTACCATTCCTCATTTGCCGTTTCTCCTACATAACCACTTCTCAGCAAGGTCCTTGTGATTTTGGCAACACCCTCTTCTCCCTGTATCAACAATTGTAATACAAATTATAATTGCATTGTGGGTCAACTTTTTGTTCATTTGGTTGGTGTTTTTTTTTCTTCCCAGATGGTGTCTGGATTGTCTTGTTGAAAACTCTTCTAGAGGTCATAGCCTAGCATATATCAAGACTTATATAGGCTAAGGTTTGAAAAAATACTTTTGAAGAAAAAACAGCATAAATACATGGAATTGGAGGGCAGAAATTCTGGTTGTGATCCAGACAACTCCCTGTTACTTTTTAATCTGGAAAAAAGTGACTTCTCAAGAAATTGGAGTGTATTTCAATGTTTTATTTTGTGTTAATTACTTACAATACCCTTTTCTGTATTGGGTGCTATGGGTCAGCAATTGCATACAAAGAAGCATAGTAGGGTAACTTTTGCAGCCATGATTGTGCATTTACTTTGACATTCATCTGGTCTTTGCAAAGCAAAAACTTCCTGCCCACACCATTTTGTGTCTGTTGCCCTCTCACCCTCCTCCAACCACAGTAGAAACTCCAAGCTTAGTTATAATGATTTTAAAGACAGTCTATCAGTAAATGGGAGATGGTATGTCTCATCTGACTTCTGACAAAAATGGTACTTTTATTTTTACATGATTGTGTATAATTTATTCATAGACAACACTTGACTTTTAATCACAAGAGTACTGTGATGAACCTTTTCCAGGGCTTTTATATAGGACTGAATAGAAGGCTAATTGGCTTAGTTTCAGTGAATGTCACATCTCTGCTTCTTCTTTTGTTCTCAGTTTTTTGCATTATTGTTTCCTCTGCCTACTTTTGTGTAGAAGGGGAATCCTCTGAGACTGGCTATGTTTGTCATTACCAAAGCAACTCTTCCCTTCTGAAGGAAGTTTCCCATGAGTTTTTCTCAGCAAGGACCCCCTGGTCAGTAGGCAGCAGGACCTCCTGGGGATGTTTTAGGACTTTCTTTTTAGCTTTCAAGCTGTCTGGGTCTTGCTCAGTCTCAAACTGAAGCTTTTCCATGGTTGCTGGGTTGTGTGGGATCTAGACACATAAGCCTGAACTTTGTGAGAAATAGTACACCATAAGTTTGATTCTTTTTCCATCAACAGCTTCATAGAATATTTGTAGGTTTACTTAAACCAGTCTTTTTGGACTTCGGTGTTTACATAGAAAAACTGATGTGGTGCTGCAGATCCATGGCCCCCCATGGTACTTAGTGTACCTTGGGTTTTGCTACTGAATATGAAGAGACATCCTGATGCCACAATGAAAGGCAGTAGTAAGAGATCCAAGAACAAAGCACTGTCCTTGCTCTATCTATGTGAGATGATGCAAAGATTACCTAATGAAGTTTCCAGGAAGGAAGGAAGATCTTATATTTCCTTTCCCTGTCCCTCCAAAAGTAATAAATCAGCAGTAAGCTGCTTTTACTTTGTGGGTATCATAATAGATGGAAGTCGGGAATAGTTTCCTCTCTTCTGATAAGAATTGTGTTGTCAGTAGGAGTGCTTGAGATTTATTTCAGTTACAGCAAGGCGGACTTTTTTCTAACTTGTACCTGCTGAAATAAATTATCAGTTGACACTGGACTTACTGACTGTCTTGAGTGTGTATTTCAGGAGCTCTATCTGTTTAACTAGACAAAAATAAGAAATAAACAGTATAACTGCTCTTTCCCTCTGCAGAATTGACCCCTGAGGAGAAAGCCCTGAAGATTGCCAAAGCCATGCGTAAGCAGTCATCAGAGGTAAAAGAGAAATGGGAAAACCTAAATGCCAGTGCCAGTATCTGGCAGAAGCAAGTGGACAAAGCATTAGAAAAACTGAAAGACCTTCAGTGTGCCATGGATGACCTTGACGCTGACTTGAAGGAGGCTGAAAATGTGAGGAATGGCTGGAAACCTGTAGGAGACTTGCTCATAGATTCATTACCAGATCACATTGAGAAAACTACGGTAAGTGTGGAACTACTGGAAAATACTTAGCTTGTTTGTGTGTCATACCTCTCCATTCTAGTCCCTCTAGTCATATTAGATATTTATACACTATATGCTGAAATTATCATGTGCAGCATAAAGTCTTTAAAGATGGTATCTGAAGTTTCAAATAAAGTCCAGAGCTGGGCCACATTCCCAGTGTTGGCTGGGATTACATACACACACAGATCTGTTTGGCCATCAAATGTAACTCTCTTTTTAGAAAAACATTCAGAGTTTTCTTAATCATACATAAATAAATACATAGTTTTAATTTATGTTCCTTAACTTTCACAAACTAAACATGTCTATTGTCTATTTTTTTTTGTATGAGCAAATTCGCATTTGCTTTTACTTTAGCCTGGCTTCTCACCAGAGTTATTTCAAACTGAAGAACACATACTACCATATAATGTTGTTATGGGCAAACCAGTTCTTGCTGCCTGGGTTCCATGCAGGGCTCAGCATCCCAAGGCATGGCTGCTTTTGATAAGTAGTAGTCATCCCCTGTTTAACTGCATGGATTGGGTAGGGACCTGGTACTGTAAAGGTCCCAAAGAAGGAATATCTTCTGACAGCATTGTCCAGAAAAGCTGACTGGAAACGGCATAGTGCAGTGAATATCATGGATTCCAGGAGAACGTGTGGGTATGCACATGTAGGTAGAGAAGATTGCCGTTTTGGGCAAATTTGGCATTTACTGCTAAGATTCTCTTTCACAAACACAGATTTTCAGTTTTTAAGCTTAAGAATGAATATAGCAAAGCATTATAAGACCCTGGAGTTGTGTACCTGACCATCCGTGTCTTCAGCATAGGATACTGGTGTTAGAAGAATAAAATGGGCTGCAACCAGGTTTCTGTAGATATTCTGTCTATGTATACAGTGTCTGTGAATTCACAGGGCTACGTTATTTCATGTAAAGCAATGTGAGCATCCTCATTCTCCCAATTATAGTGTTACTTTCAAGGTTAATGGAACTGAAATCTTTAAAACAAAGGCAGACAAAGGTGAGTTAATATCCAGACTGCTGTTGATTTGAAAAGAGTAATGAATCTCTTCCTTCTTCTCTTATATTTTAATATAGATACTAAAGCAAGAAATAAGACGCTAATGCTGAATAGCTCCTTGTTCTCGTGCTGAGAAGTGATTTGTCATATCTTAATAGATTTTTCTGTAAAGTAGATGAAAGCAAAGTCTTTCAGATTTTTCATTGCTATGGAAAAACTGTAATATTTGTGAAGGAATAGGGGCCTACTGACTGTCCAGAAACCCAGTGTTTCTTTCTTGACAGTATATTCTTTCTGTTCCTTGGCCTAATGAGGCTGATTATTGAAGGGAGGTAAATAATTAAATTGTCCAAAGAAAATACTTTTTTTTCAGCTGTTTTGGGCTTGTTTAATGATGTTTAATCAAACTGTTTATAGGATTGAACACTTAACTGCTCACAGCAAGCAAGACATTTGAAGCATTTTTTAAACTGTAACTAAACTTTCATCCATTTGTCTTAATACTATATTTAGTTCAATTTGATTCAATAAACCTTTTATTTCTTTTTAGTCATTGTGATAGCTTTACTCTCTGGTTCTAATCAGGTAAAACATTTTACTCTTTTTCCTTAGAAGATACATTCCTTCATGCTTTGCTAGTTCAGTAATAGTTTTTAAATTGAATTTTTGTCAGCTGCTTAATACTTGAAAACTATAGCTACTGAACAATTTTTTTCTTGAGAACAGTTGGCAGGCTCTGTGCTGCTAAAGCTCCTAATATAGCATTGTTTATTTCCTTTTGCAAAGAAAAGCTCTAAAGGCATACAGTGCCACAAAAAAATCCAATAAATTCTTTTAGGGTAGCAATTTGCTTATGGGCATTTCAGTAAGTTTCATCCTGTTTTACCTTAAATGTGGGTATGAGTGATACAGCAAGGATATTGAAGTGAGTGAACTTTCTTTGCTGAGAACTGACTTGTGTGCAGTTGTTTAGCATAAACCTCATTGGGCAGGTCAGCACCATGTGGAGTTTACACTTTTGTGCTTCTCAGATGTCAGCTGAACATAATTGTGTTTCTTACCCTTCTAGGCTTTTAGAGAAGAAATTGCTCCCATCAACTTAAAAGTTAAAACAGTGAATGATTTGTCCAGCCAGCTGTCTCCACTTGACCTTTATCCATCTTTAAAGATGTCTCGTCAATTGGATGATCTTAATATGCGGTGGAAACTTTTACAGGTATTCTTCTGATTATGTACAGTAGGTGTGGGGGGAGGGATGTTTCTCACTCTCCTGTTTTCTGAAAAGATTCACTTATAACATTTGTTCATTACTTCTGTCACTAAGGTGTTATTCTGTTAGTACCAATGCAACAAAATAAGCTACATTTCCTGCTGTAGCTTGGCCAAAAGCTTTTCCTTTCAATCTATTTCAGCAGTTTATTTGAACAGGAAACTACATTAAATTCTGGGAAATAATGGGAACTATTGCTACTTTTTTTTATGTCTTGTAGCAGTAGATTTTTCTGCATAAATCTGTGTCACCAAAAACTGGTGTAAAAATTCCTGTTGTGTTTCCAGCTTGTATGAAACCTGTTTTATTCAGTCTTTGAGTGTTCAGTTTTTGTAGGAATTTCACTTAAAGTGATTTAAGTTTTAGTAGAGCTATAACAAGACATCTGCTATAGTAATTTAGCATAAAAAGCAGAAGAGGATATGTTTAGAGATTCATATTGCCTAGTTATGATTATTCTGCTTAAATTGTCTGAGAAAGGTAAATCCATGTGTCTGATTACAGCTGAAACCATACTTAGTTTCACAATGAATGATTTAGTGAAGTTTCTTACATCAGTTAAGAGTTAATATATGAATTTTTGAAATTCCTCCTTTTCTTGTGTTTATTTTTGTAGGAAATACTTATCACATTTCTAATGAGGGCAGTGTGAATGAATTTTCAAAACCTAGGCACCAGTTTGTTGGCCAGTAGTTTTGAATGAGTCACTCCTGAGAGTCAAAGCTGTTATTGTGTTATATCAGATCTTTCCTAATATAATTTGATAGTGGGGTTTCTTTTCTTATTTTATTTGTCAGTTTTTGGTTGTTTTTTTTTTTTTTTTTGGGGGGGGAGTGTTGTGTGTGTCCTCTCAAATTTAGTTAACCAAGCAACCAAAGTACTGCTACCACAGTTTCAATTAAGCTGAGGGACATCATGTCAGCCAGTGAAACACTGTCTTCCAAAATGGTTCTGTGCTGGAAAGGCAGCATAAGATCAATGCAATCAAGCTGAGACCTGCTGACTATGGGAATTTGGACAGCAGAAGGGCTGGGAGGAGATCAGAAACTTCAGCAGCTAGCTGTAGTCACCATGAAACTACTGTTGTTTGTTATTGGTCTACACTTCTTGCACCAGAACACTGCAAGATAGAAACATTATTCTCATTAAGATGAAAGAAAAATATGTAGCCTTAAATAGGTGGATGTCACATAATTGCTGTGACACACAAACAAGTTGATTTCACTAGAAGAAATGTAAGCAAGTGATTTTCTTATCATGACCTTGGTGTTGCAATGTAGATTTTGAGTGCATATGTTTATATGTAGGTGTCCGTAGAGGATCGCCTTAAACAGTTACAGGAGGCACATCGAGATTTTGGACCTGCATCACAGCATTTTCTTTCCAGTAAGTTCCTTGAATTAATGAATGCATGTAAGATATGATAGCTTTCTCAAATGCTGCCTGAACTTTACTCCATGTTTCCCTATAGCTTGAGGAAGTTCCTCTTCCATTATATTATCTCCTTGTTTATGTAGATGTGTTTCATCTTCATAACTTCATTGAGATTTTTACTAGTGTGCTTCCCACTCTGTCTTTCTGAGATGGTTGTGCCCTTGTTGCTTTATTCTTTGTCCTCTGCTGCAGTGTCTGACCAGTGACTGTTCCAGAATCTTTGCATGCTCATGACCACATCTTTTCATCCTCTGCCAACTCTTTCTTCCATTTCCTTTTGTTTCCACACTTGCTGGGATGGCACAAAAGAAGAGCTCCCTGGATTTTTCTTTTTTTTAAAGGCTCTGTGTTATACATTCCTGGAACTTCAAGCAAAGGGCTGGGAAAAGCAAACATGCATTGCTTCCTCAGGACCTATCCTTTCATCTTTTTAATAAACATTTCAGAGGTGTAAGCATATAATCTCACATCTACTAAGAAGTCAAAAACTGCATTGATATAATTGTTATGCATGGGTTGTGGTATTGAGAAATATGTTGGTTTCCTGATGTTCCAGCCTACCTGCCATCATCAGAGCTAGTGATACAGAATTTTAAGCCAATCACCTCTCCAGTTTTTGACTGAGAGCTTCTATAAAAAAGATAACGTTATTGCAGGAGTTGAGAAGTCAACATAAAAATGAGCAGATCTTTCTCAGATATTCTGGAGTGGTGTATGACCCTGTATAGCTAATATAATTTGAATCACTAAATAAATCTTGTTTTTCTTTTTATTGACTTACGTTATAACCATGTTCTTATTTTGAATTGACACTTGGTTTTTCAGTAAACCAAATGCAGTGTATATAAAATATTGCAGTTGTTATGCAAACCAGCAATTCCTAGAGCCATTTCATCCTTTTTTTTTTAATTGACAGAACAAACAAACAACTTTAAAAGTATAGGATTTATTTCTTTTTTAAAGCCCTATTAGAAATACTGCATACTGTTGCCACAGTGGTTTTGTAGCTCTTGTAGACTGAAACTTGTAACCTGATCAGTACATCTATGTAACACCTTGTTAAAAAGATTACAGATTGAGTGCTACCTTTGGCACTGCTGAAGAATGCCAGATGAACTGTTTTTAAGACTAGTCAGTCTAGTCTCTGTAAATAAAACAGATTAGGAAGCAATGTAGAAGTGGTTTCTCAGAATCTAGCTCTTTTATTCTAATTGAGGGAGAATCAATGGAAGAGACCACATATAAAACTTGCCAGGAAAGGTTGGCTGGTTTAGTTTGTCTTGGCCTGGATCATTTCCTTGAATTGGCTTACAACATGCCACAATAAAACAACGCGTTCACAAGTCTGAGTGGTGAACTGGCTTTGTTGCTGGTTAAAACATTAGAAGAATTATGTCCACAGAGATTATGCAGTGCCTTATCAGCATTCCTCAGCTGTGTTTATGGAATATTCTTCAGGCTTAAGGAGATATTCAGTTAATGTTACATACCATAGTAAAAAAGGGGAAGTTTCCAGGATGGTTTGCATGTTGGTAGATACCACAGAGAATTACAGCTAAGTAATACAATTTTGGAGAAACAAATAATATATAGATATTCATTTAAACCATTTGTTAAAAGCGTCTTCTTTCCCCACACCAACTACAACTGGAGCATCTTAAAAAAAACCAACAACAACAAAAAAACCAACAACCAAACATTTTCTAGAGCTTTAACAAGACAGAGTTAAAGAACTTACACCTACAAGTTTATATAGTGTCTGGTAAACATAAGTCAGGGACAGTAAATTCAGAAGTCAAATAATAATAGAAAAAAATCATTAAATCTGCAAAGTTGAAGGCTTTATCCTGACAGGTTGAAAGACTGTGTATTCTAAATCAAAAATATCAAATCTTTTTAGCAGCAATAAGTGACTTTTAGCTGTGAGGAACAAATAGAGTAGTAGTCTGAATAAAACAATCTCAAACTCCTAAGTCTGAGATTGATTATATATATATGTCTTCTGCAAATCTTCGTTTCCAAAGCTGAACTTCTGAATTAGAGGGCAGGTTTTTATCTGTGCTTATCTGACAGCAGCTGTTTTCAGTTTACCTCACTTACCTGTTACTCTTCCTCCAAATACTAACAAGGAATCATAACTTGCCATCACACACCATTTTCAACTGAATAGATTCCAGTTATCATGTAATCAGGAATTTTTGCTAGCAGAACACCTATTTCTGCCTGTTCATTAGATTCACAGAATGAAGGAGTAGCCATGTTTAAAAGGGACTGACCTCAAAAGATCATGTAGTCCAGCCTTTTATGGGAAATAGAGCCTAGATGAGATTATCCAGCACCCTGGTTCCACCCCTGTTTATCCAGTGATTTCATTTCTGCAGTGGCTAGAAAAGTTTATTTACTAAAAAGACACAGTGCAGCATTTGATACTACTGTTTGACTTCTTGGAACACCAATTGCATGGATTCCTGCAGACCATCACTATGAAAGGGCTTCAAAATCTTTTTAAAGACTACCAAATAATATATTAGCCCTTCATAAAATGTTCTGTGTTAGGAGCCTGAGATATTAGTAAGCCACTGCAATCTACAATCCCTCTTTCTGAGGTATGTGTCCCCTCCCATCACTGGGAGGCAGAATTTGGTTGATTTGGTTTTCAGTGCTTTTGAGATGGAAGGGTAAGTACTTTTCAAGTTAGTTACTGATCAGTAAATTTTATGCATCCCTAACACAGATAAAGGTAAAGAATCCTTATAATCCATTATTCCTTGCAGAAAGATTGCTTTTTGCTGCCTCCTGCCTTTAGAAATAGTAACTTGATTTTTCTATAATAATTTAATTTTTTTTCCAAGGATGACAATACACTACTCTCTGATTTGTTCCTTGTATGCTTTCTAAGACAAATCCATGAACATGTTCCTTAACTAACAGCTTATGTCTCCAGTGGCTGCTCAAAGCATCTCTCAGCCATACTAATATCTGCAGACCTGCTAGTGAATGCCAAGTTGAGAAGTACTATGTTCAGTTTTCATTAGTGATTTTTAAAAGATAATGGTAATCTCATTTTCCAGACTTTCCTACAGCAGAGAGCTGGCAATGTTTTACAAAGTTTGTTCCCAAATAAAAAGAATATTACTTGTTCCATAATAATTAGTAATTTAATTGATTACATTACATTACATTTAGTTCATATTAATGTCAGTGCAGAATATCTATAGCTGTCACAGAAAATAAATTGTAGTTAAGCAAATTCTTACTTAACTGACATAATTCATGTACTAGAACAGGAGCTACCATAGGTGCCAAATTGCAACACTACAGAATGAAACTCTAAAGCTGATGGCCACCTGCACCTATCAGGTTGATTTTACTTTTTTTTTTTTTTTTTTAATTATGAAGGCCTAAGGATTATTTTTTAGAAAATAATAGGTCTGTTTGAGCATTTAGCCTTTACTGTATTTTTTCTTATTTACATCTTTATTGTAAATGTTACCTTCTTCTTCAAATAAAGTCAGAATTTTCTCATTTTTGTTTCCAGTAAAGAAAGTGGTTTACTTTAATTTCTGTAATTTCTGAAATATTCTTCCAAGTTAATCTGTCTTTCAGTACATGAATATTTCTTAAATTATAAACCATGATATTTTGTGTGGTTTACGAAGAGGTAACAGCCATGAAACCCTTGGACACCAGCCAGCTGGTAGCAGGGCAAGACCTATCTCTGTGTAGCTGCAATAGCCTATGGGGCTTATACAGCTTGTAAGGCTTCTCTGCAGTTTAGAGAAGTCTTTGGGGAAGAAGAGTTACTTTCAAGTGGATTTTTTGTTTTTCCAGAGAGGGATGAATTGTAAAGTGGGCCAAGCTTGCAGAAAATTACATTAATTGAGAGTTTAATTACTTGAGATCCAGTGTGGATCAAAGCTGTGTCTCATTTTACCAGGGCTCTAAATGGGGGCTGTTAGGACCTGAGAGCAGGCACTCTGTCAGAGGCAGTGCTGTGTGTGTGCAGTGTAAATTCATCTCATTGTGGTGATCACTTGTTCCTGCCTGTTCCTTCAATCTCTGCTTCCACAGGGAAACTAGTGCAAGGAGATTTTTCATGCTGGAACCCTAATTACCCAGGCACTAGTCTGGTAATTTCTGATATGCATACCTATGATTTCTCAGTAAATAGCTATCTTTAAGTTGAGCACCAAAAGTCCTGTTGGCCTGAACAGGCCTTTTATCTCTTGGGATGTTTAGGTCAGCAGAGTTGCGGTGTCCTGTATGACTTCATGCTTTTTTCAACTCAATGTGCAGAAGCCTTCCTGATATTGTGGATGATATCTTATTTCCATAAATTCTGCAAAGATTATAGTTCTTTGTCAAGGAGTGCTAAGACAGGTTTTAATTGGTTTGTTTTTTTTTTCTTGGCCATACAGTGTTAATCGATATTAATTTGAGTTGCAAATAGGAACTAAGGGTTGTAACTAATAAAAACAAGGTTGCTGTTGCTTCTTCTTCTGTTGCAGAGCATTATTTATACTAGTGGAATAATTTATTTTAAAGGCATAAACTGATAATAATCCTATAAGGTGGGAAGACAAGTGTCTGCAGTTTCCCTAAATGCCTAGCTTGCTTGCTCAGAATTTATCATCCTTCTTTGAAGTAGAATCATCACATTTGTTTTATTTCCAGCATGGCATCAAATAGATGCCTGTAATCATCCTGATAGATTGCCATAATTTTCTTCTGCTGCTTTTCTAATTACTGAATGTTGTATGGGAAATATTAATTGTTTCCATTTAATTTATTATAACCATATTAATTGCAAAACAAATAAATGATAGATTTTTTAATATGACAGGTGCTTTCTAATAACAACCTTCTGTTTATTTCCTCAGCCTCAGTGCAGTTTCCATGGCAGAGATCTGTTTCACATAACAAAGTGCCCTATTATATCAAGTAAGTTTGCCTTGATTCTATTTTTTTTAAGTATAACAGAGGGTCCTATCACCATAATCTAGCAGAAAAACATAGGTACTAAGTCATTGCCAGAAATGCTATTGAGAGTTTCTCCATGTAGTGTTATGGCTGACTATACTGTAAAGTCATGTTTATTGATTTGCATGCTGCATAATTTAGAAATACATAAAAACAAGTCACTGACAAACCTGAATTAAGAACTTCACTCACATAAGAAACAGCAGAGGCACTCCAGTGTAATACACTATCAATGTTCAAACTGTACTTGTTCTTGTTTGTGTGTCTCATTCAGAGTATAATCTGTGGAGGGGAGAAAACTGAATAAATAATGTATTTAAAATCACAAAGTTCATAACCTAAAGCAGGATAGTGGTGACTAATATCTATTGAGCCCATTCCTCATTTTGTGCAAAATTGCTTTGTAAATAGGCAGGCCTTGTCTGTTCTTTTGCCATCTTTACTTTATGGTAGTTTTTATAGTAATTGATATTAAGGTAAATTTTACTCAGATATAAATATTTAAAAAGATTTTACAAATACCTTGATTACCAAGAGGAATGGTTAAGATATTTATTTTGAAAGTAATTAGGAATACCTAAGTTAGAGGTGTGGAGATCTTGATGTATTCTACAAAGAGCAATCCCTAATTTTGCTTTTCATACTCTACTAGTGTTTATTTTGTTTGTCTGTACTTTTAAGGTCAAATACTGCAGCTTTGAGAGGGGGATAGGTCTTTGCTAGAAAGGTAAATGAAATTTTAAGTTACAGAGTATAAGCGAGACCCAGAGTAGTTCATTTTAGGCTGAGGGAAATCTATGTTTAAAATGTTATCAGTTTGGGTTTGGGAGAAGAGTAGGGTTTTTAAGTCTGTAGGATGACTGTGAATTGGCCCTGAAGATAGTTTATTTTAAAAGAACTTGAGGATTTTTGTACTATTGCATATTGCTCGTAACCCCGAGAGCCACATTTTGTGCTTCAAACAATTTACAAGTACTTGAGAGCTTTGAAAAGCAGGTAGCAATAAATCTGTCGATCAAACCTGTTAGCATTCTTGAGATGTGACAGTTTTTAAACTGTCATATGAAAATAAATTTCTTTAAAGGGCCTGAGTAGGCAACCAGAAAAAGCAAAAACCTGCTATGCACATCCTTGAATTCTCTACAAAAGCATTTGTGCTTCTGCTCAAAAGTTTTGCAAGAGGCAGCAAAAACTGAAACACACTGGAGAAGAGGTTCCTGCCTCCTTCCCAATGGAAGCGGAGAGGGCAGAAGTTGAATGTGGAGGCACATTCACTGCTCTGACTCAGACAGAGGTGCTGTTAAAATGATCACACCTGCAGCAGTAATTCAAGGAAAATGCTGAAGTGGCAAACTATAGAAAGCAAGAGGAAAACTGCCCTAAACTTGTAATTTTTTCTTGTGGGTATGTCCTTGGTGGACACTGGAAGATTTGTGTACCTGTTCTACCCTATCAGAGTCAATAGCTGGAGTTGGTGGCATGAGTTGGCCTCAGAGGGTTCTGTGGAGCTCACCAGTTCATTCAGAGTTGTGGAACAGAGATAGGAACAGATGGAATAAACTAAGATATACCTTCTGATCTGTGCTGAGCAAAGCAAAGATTTTAAACTTGAATATTTCACAGGTATATCTCTTTTTTCTTATCTAATACATTCTTCTGAGTTTCTGAGGGTCTCTCTTACCCTACCTCAACAAAAGTTCAGTTTTTGAGAAATCTTTTTTTTATTTTTTTTTCCATTGTGGGTTTAGAAGAAAACCTTTCCAATATGTGCACTAGGTGCAATCCTTCAGGCACACCAATTGGTGGCACAGTATCCCCTGGGACAGTCCTTGCTCCCATAGTAGTGTGTTGGTGGCCCTAGAGCTTGATTGTAGAATGAAGCCAGTTGGGACTCAGAAGCCCCAGCATCTCTTAGAAATTGTTTTTAATGGTCTTTCACAGAAAGTTTGGTAGGGTGGCAGAAGTTCTATGAGGGTTGAGTTCTTTATAGTAGCAGAGAACACTTTTATTTTCAGGATGGCTTTAATGAAGTCAACAGAATTAACTACTGCATCTCAATATGCAGCTCATAGCGAGAGATTTCAGAAAGATTGTTGAGAGTAGGGGAAGATTACTGGAAAAGTTTTATTTGAGATGCAGTAGTTAATCTCTCAATTGCATATATGGTGCTAAAGCAATGTCTTGATTCTTGTGTCTTGAAAAAGAGCAATGGCACATGTAACTAGTAGGATTTGTTTTTTTAAAGAAACTTGAGGGTTTCAGTAACTTCACAGTCTGGAAAGCAGACTGCCTTGGAAATTTCCTACATTTTTTTTATTTCTTACTGATATAAACATCATTGTTTTCAGCAGCATCTAGATCAGTCAGAGAATTGTGGAAGATGAAGAAAACAGCTGATTCTGAACTTCATTTGCTTTGTTGTGATGAGGCTGGAGAGTACTCTTGGGTTTAAATACCCTTTTAAATCTTTGTTACCTAATTTTAGACACAGTTTAAAGAAGAGAGAAAAACAATACTGACATGAAAAACTTATTAGTTTGGAATGATTACTTGAATAAGACAATTCAAGAGAACAGTCAATAAGATTTAATGATTTTTTTTTATATAGAAAGGCTAGGAAAGAGGGAGAAACTGATTAAATTTTCTTTTTTTTTTTTTTTAAATTATACTAATGTCTTTCAATGAGTTGCCTTTGATGTAAAGCACAGCGTGAGTAGAAGGAACAGTTGCAATAAGTCTCAAAAACTTTATAACTTGAGAGCAACTGACTGTATTTACAAGAAGACTTCTATGTTCAGAGGGAAGATTTAAGATGCCAGTTGTTCATTTTATGGTATAGCAGAACAAGGATAATAAAAGTATGATCCAGTGATTGGTGGCTGAAAAATGAGAAGTTTTAAAAATTAATTTTGAAAGGGAAATAAATGTTAATTGAAATCAGGTCACTTAAATTCTGAATAAGAGCACTTTTAAATTCTGAATAAGACCAACCATGAATTTATAACTTTACTTCATTTTGATAGCTTTTTGTCTGTGTCCTTGAATGAGAAATGTTAAATATTCAGAAAGTCATGTAGCTGCAGATTATAATCTAGTTGTACCTGTGTTGAGTATTTGGGAAAAATAAGAAAAAAGAACCAACTTCAATCTGCAGTTTTATTGCACACAGAATGTAGTTCAAAAATATTAGGGAACTGCACCTGAGAAGTCAGGAGAAAGTACTTTAGATAACAATTAATCTGTAAGGAGAGGGTAAAAATGATACAAGATGTCTGTATTTTCAGATAAGAAGCACTTTGGTTCCTGACACCAGAGGTAGATTGCATTTACATGGGTAGAGAGAAGTGGCTCAGTGGAAGGTCTTTGGTGTGGTGACTTTGGAGTCAGTCTATTTCTCCCCACCCCATTTTCTAATGGTTGGCATATCTTAAATATAGCCCCTTTCTGGGGCTGTATTTAATGAGGTAATGAGGCACAGGAACAATCAAAAAGCCAGTGTACAACCTCCTCTGCCCTATTAGTTCAGACAGAGGTGGTCTGGTTTGGGGTATTTTGGAAAGGATCAACTATCCAGCTTAGCTGGAAGAAGGGTTTATATTTCATTTGGCCCAGGTTTATCAAGGTGTGTGTTTCCTGGGCGATGGTGGATACCTGATTTACCCTGTCACATTTTTTCTCTTGAATCGTCTTACTAAGTCAGATTTGTGAAATGTTGCTACCTGTATTGATGTGATTTTATTTAATCCTTTTTGCCTTCTGTTTGATTTTTTTACTAATGCAAATTACAGAATATTTTTTATTTCTGTAGACACAGTAAAATTCAATGACAACCTTAATCTGCAAAATCTTGAGGCTGCTGGGGAAAAATGCGCATAGTCTTTCATACTTTTTAAATTGAACTAATGAGCATATGAAAGGGAATGCAACACAGAAGGCATGGTATTTGCCAGTGCACTTTTGGTAATAAAAGTGTGAGGTTTGGGCAAAAGGTTTGGTGAACTTGCCATTAAATACATTTTTCATAGGTTGGTTTGTAAAGATTTGAGATTTAATAGGGAAAAATTTGTTGTTGTTAATTTATAACTATTTGGATCATACAAATAAGACATCCTTGGCCTCTGTAACAGTAAATTAAAAAAAAAATAAAGCCTGTATTACATAGCATCTCAATAAAAATATTCCAAAGAGAAGCAGAATAAGAAATGAAACACTATGATCATTAAACATCTATGAGGGAAAACATGATGAATATGCAGAAAGCATAATTACCTTAGCATTTCTCACTGTTTTTGTTTTAACTATAATTTAAGTGTTCTTCTGCCATGTACCTTTCAATGCCATAAATTATTAGATATTTGTGCTGTGCAGAAGAAACAAAAGGGCAACATAGAAAAGGTCACACTGAGTTTAATCTCATGCAGGGCATTAGATAGAGAGAGCAATTTCTTGTAGCAGCCATTAAATTAATCGATATCAAATGCCATAGTTGCCTTGCCTTTTCTGTAATCCTGCAAAGTGGCTGGCATCACCAGTGTCTTAGAAATCCTATTTTATCACCTCCTGTATTTTGTTCAGCTTTATGGAGGCAGGAATAAAATGTTTTCTGCTTCTCCATTTTTTAAGACTCCAGAAAGTCTTTGCTGATGTTTGGTTTATGCCTTTATGGGGAAGAGGGGGAGAAGTAAGGGAACAGAGAAAAAAAATATTTTTTCTTATTATAATTATATCCATAATATCATTCTTATAAGTATTAGGTGTTTCCCTTAGAAGGGAAAGCAAAATCTAATTTACAGAAAGAGGTAATACAAGTTTGAAGGTTTGAGAGTTTCTTCACTTATCAGTTCCTGTGCTCGTCTTCATTTTCAATTAAAGAAATGCAGTAGCACATTTCTCTGGAGTGATTTCAAAATATCTGCATATACATGATTCTACCAACCTCTAAGGTGCAATACCCTTGTGAT